TCGCAGCAACGGGGGGGGGGGGGGGGGGAACGGGCCCGGGCTCCGCTGCACGGTACCACCCTATACTGTTGTGTGATGTTACTGAGTCCTGGAAAGCTCCAACTAAAAAAAAAAACTATGAAAAACAATCAGAACTCGTGGCCGGTAAGGAAGGATGCGCAACTTTTACGAAAGCATGCAGATGATTTGCGGAAAGTATGCAGAGCAGCGACCCTGATGAATGGTGAGCCCAGACCCAGTGAGGTTTTTAAAAAGGGGTAGGCTAACTGGGCTGGACTGACGGGAGTGTTTCCACACTTCCTGATGGCCAGCCCCAATTCATCAGGTGTGAAGATTACGTTGAATGTCTCAATGTTAGCCGGCGTGAAATTGAGCGCAAGTAGTGTGACATTGAGTGTGCATGTGATCTGTTGTGAATATTGTTTGGAAAATGATACACGTGCAAAGTGTGCGGCAAATTTTGTGGCGACTTCGAATGGGACGCTGTTGTGGTGGTTGTTGCCTAAAAGGTGCGGCGATCTATAATGTGGCGTGCGTCTATTTGTGGAGCACCGAATCAGTGACCATATTCCATATAGGGGGTTAAGTAGTTGACCGTGTTTGAAAATTGCTCCCAGCCCTTCTGTTTTGCGCGTTGAATGGTAGCATCAGGTTGATGTTTGGCTCTACGAACCTTCTCTTCGTGGACTATGCGAATGCGGTTACAAAAGGCACGCATAGCCCGGCGTCACAGAGCTACTGCGACGGCGAGCCATGCGCCCGCGACAGCCATCGTCCAACCAGGGTACATGTTTGTGACCTGGTCAACGATGAGTGTGTGAAACAAACTGATGAGCTGAAGTTAAAATATTATTTAGAAGGTGAACAGAAAGAGAGTAAGATCTGTGACAATCTCACGTTAATTGCAAATAAACTGTAATGAGCATCAAAATGAACTAGACCACACAAAAGGACATTTGAAACAAACAAAGTCGAACCGCTTTGGCGCGGAGTTTCGTTTACGTTATTTGTGTAAAAGCTGTAACCGTTCACATTCAAGTCGCAATGTTTAACATATCTGAGCCGTTTAAAAAGGTCTATTGAACGGCGTCTACCAATGGTTTGTTTTTGACCACATGTTCTTTGATTCCTGCCCAGTGGGATACCAGAGATCTCGTATTCCATTGGAGCAAAAATTCACCTAACAGAGGATTCATTAAGGGAGGGGAGGGAGACCATCCAGCAGGACGGTGATGGGGAAAGATCGAGGGGAGCGACGGCGGAAGCGCGTGACGCGCCAGGGTCGACGATCAAGCGAGGGATTGGCCCGGGTGACTGGTGTCGGGACCCGACGGCAAAAACGACGCGCTGGGGTGAGAGGGGCTCTCTAAGTCGAGCGGGATGGGTCCCTCCCGAAGGAGACTTGCAACCACCTGATTCACCTCAACTGGGTCGGTCGGCGCTGACTCGATCGGACGCCGCTCCAGACGTGGCTGACCTGGGGAGAGGCGGCGTGCTGAAAGGAAGCACCCCGCTGTGGCGCGACACTGACTCGGCATCTTGGGCTTCTCAAGAGGACGCAGAGAAGGGAAGGAGCGCCCCTGCGGAGCTGGTACCAGAAGGGAAGGGCGCCCCCGCGGAACTGGTGCCAGGGGGAAGGGCGCCCCTGCGGAGCTGGTGTCAGAGGGGAAGGGGCGCCCATGCGGAGCTGGTGTCAGAGGGGAAGGGCGCCCCTGCGGAACTAGTGTCAGGGGGAAGGGCGCCCCTGCGGAGCTGGTGTCAGGGGGAAGGGCGCCCCTGCGGAGCTGGTGTCAGGGGGGAAGGGCGCCCCTACGGAACTGGTGTCAGGGGGGAAGGGCGCCCCTGCGGAGCTGGTGTCAGGAGGGAAGGGCGCCCCTGCGGAACTGGTGTCGGGGGGGGGGGGGGACTGCGTGTGGATGTCTATTTCCCTATCTACTGTTATTGCTTTCGGCTTTTTGCTGTTTATTTTTCGTTCTGCTTTGTTCCATTCGATTTTTTGTCGGGGCCCGTTGCCGGCATAGATCCTCTGCTCAGCGTTGGATCTACCAGGGGTTCTTTGTACAATACTAGGGCTTCCTGGACAACGGTGGTACCCCCCAAGATTTGAGGTGGCCCCTCGGGAGAACACCTGCGAAACCTCCTGACGTTCTCGCGTCATGATGCTGGCCCTGTTCGGCATACGGGGCCTTGTCCGGCACGGGCCCTCTGACCAGTATCAGGAGTTCCTGGCCGTCAGTTTTGCTGGGCTCTGGCCGACAGGGCATTACTCCAGAGGCCCCGAATACTTCAGTACCATACTTCAGAGGCCTCGAATACCGCCTTGTAAGAGAACGTAGCGTGCATCCGCCCGGACTCGTCCAAAAACCGACTGGCACCTGCGAGCGTCGGGTCTCCGCCGCCGCCTCAGCGGACGACCCTTGACCCCCGGCGAATCGGGAGACCCGCGGTCACGTGACGCCTCTCGACACCCAGTCAGATGTAGAGCTCGGAAGACAGCGAGGGCGAGGGCACACACCCCGCACAATCACACCACACCCCTCCGGCCAGATCGGTATTTTGGAGGCCTCATTGCCTTGCCTTGTCGCCGCTGCCGGCAAGGGAGCCTTTCGGGGCCTAGGACTGGTCCCGATAGCCCCTCTCCTTGTGTCTGTTCCTGTCCATGGCTGGCAAAGATGAAGCACGAGACTAATTCATTTTTGTGCTACATAGACATAATCCGAATAGTTTCCGAGGGTGGTTTTTGCTTCAGGGTAACTGGTAAGCATAGCTTGTTTCGTATGTCCTGAGTCAACCTCTCGATTCGTGCCGTCCAGTTCAACGGACAATTTGTGTGAAAACGGATGCGTCAGCGTTGACACGCGCCCGGGTGGCCGGCTGGATACCTATCGCTCGGACGTTAATTGGACCCCGCTGAGAGCTCAGGAACTAAGAGGGCTACAGAGACAGCGAATTCGCAGTGTGTGTTAGCCTGTACGTGAATTCACTTGGGTCAAAGTTTGAGGTTCTTTCTTAGGTCATGACCTTCCGGTAAATAAGGCCAAACAAGGTCAAATTCCAAGTTGGTCTCCAATGTGTCCCCAGCACCTAAATACCTGGTCTAAGCAAAAGGTCACATGCTCGTTTAAGGTCCGGGACTTGTTTGGCTTTTCGAAGGCAATGGGGACCAAAACGATACAGGACGGCTTTGAGTTTTTCATTTGAATAAGTGACAAAGATTACGCCAGGCAGCATGTTCTTAAAAAATAAATGATGATCTTGGTCATTTTAGGTTAGTGGCCTATTCTGACCTTTAAGAAGTCCATGGAAGATGTCTAATGCGGTTCCTGTTATCAACAAATTCGAAATGAGCGCCAGAAACTACACTACTTGACAAGTCCTATGGCTACAAAACAGGCTGGTTTTGACCTTGATCTAACCTTCATACCTTACTCTAGGTCGATGAATTTTTTTATTCAATTGTTGTGTTGCTTAAGAAAGTATTTCTGAAATGTATGACTCCGTCTAACACTCCGTTGTTTCACCAGATTGAACTATTCCCTTGACCAATTGAATTGAATTGACTTCGCTGAATCCACGACCTGACTTTGGCCTGCCGTAGGTCAGCGCCCTTACAAGGTGCATCTAACTTTTATATCACACGATCCGCTATTCAATTGCCTACAGCTATGCAAAATTTTGCGCGGCTGCGTCGCTCCGTTCGGAAACCATTCGGAAATACCCTCAGGGGGTCAATTTAACCCCCTCCCCTGCGCGTATTGGCCACCGCGCGTTTGGGACATCAGAAAACCGGGTTCGCTTCCCGTAGTGCCCACCTTCCCCACCAGGGTAAAAGACAGCGGGGCCATACAGCCTGAACAGCTGAAATGTTGCGGCACGACCACCGGTCTTGGTTGACCTTTGTTGGCCAGTTGCCAGCTCACCTTTCCATGTGAGTCAGGCCAAACGATGTACCCACTCTGGGACTCTGTCCATGACGCTGAATTCCCAATCAAACATTTTTATCCCAGACCGCGAAAGCAATTCATGCTTTAAACGATGTTTGTGACGCTCATTAGTGAAATGCCATTCGTTTACGACATAATTAAGAGTTATGGACCGTTCTTATCGCGCAATAAGACGATCTCGCTTTATTGGCCATTCAGACAGCAAGACACAGGCCGCACTGTCGGTGTGACCTCCTGTGGCGTGACCGCGGCTGGAAATGAGCGGGTTTCTAAAAAAAACCTGCCGTGATAAAATGTGTTCAACGACAAAACGGTGCCTATTCCAGCTGCAGTAATGCTATGCCGAATGGCTGTTATTTAGTTGTGACTAATCTAGCATTGCCACAAATGGTTTAGAAGCGGTATTATGAAAGCGGCTTTTGCGCGGCTCACAAAAGCTGATTTCACGCCCGAAATTGGTAATAGCGCCCTAATAAGCGCAGCATTCGCATGCGTACAACCACAATCGACGTTTTGGGGCCAAATCTTCCTCATGGCGGTGGATTCTGCGAGAATTCGGGGTGTGATAAATGCAGTTTTACGGTTGTTACAAACATCGCTTCTCCACGCCAAACTGGACGTCTCCCTCCCGTAGCAAACGTGTTGTTTCCAAGGTTCTGTCCGATGAATTATGCATTCTCCATGTGTTTGTACCTTGTGGAACCATGCGCTCTCCGCATTCGCGGCGTCGCGGTCTACTACACATAGTTTCACATCAAAGCTTTCTTTTTGCATAGGACTGCAGCCTCGCTCGCGCGCTTCCAAGCATAAGTCATGCCGATGAGCAAGGCTTCCCAGCCGTGCGGCAAGTCTCTCATCAGGCCTTCACCGTTACCGTTTGCCGCGGCGGCTGGCAGCGAGAGACGGCGGCCGGGACTCGGCCGTCACACTTCGTCGGCCGGTGAACGAACCCTCCGGACGGCTGGGCGGGCGCGAGCGAGCGGGCTCTCCTCTCTCGCCTCTCTCCGTACCCGGATGGCCCCGATGTGGCGGGTTTCGCCGCCGCTGACACACTTGGCCGGTCATTGTTGGTCTGGGGTCGGCCCGACACAGACACTGGCCGGAGACGTCCCGAACGTGCCGTCGCCATGCGCCACGTGACCTGGATGCTGGTGCTCTGCGCAGGTGAGCGCCGGCCCACCTGGGCTGTACGGCAGTGACGGCCGCTGCACCGCGAGCCCGACCAGCCGCCACGTTGTGCTGCATAATCGCTATGGGGGTATACAACCATCGCTGTTATGTACGGTATGTAAAGCATCTTGCATGTAACGGGATTGCTGTTTTCCGCGCTTATTTGCCTTTACCTAGTCCCAGTTGAAACTAAGAGAAAAAGCCGAAATTCACTGGAGCTGGCCCAAATTTGGGCTCAACCTTTTGGAAGCCAACGCTAGCTGAAAGCACCACATTTCCATCTGAATTCGACTGCGGTTCCCGCTCTTTCTTAGGAGCACATTCCCACGAGCTGTGTGCTCGAATGACGTCCAAATTAGAACCCGTGCTGAGGATCCCTTGTGGCCTATTCGTCGTAGTGTTAATTCGCGAAAGATTGAGAATTACTCTTATGAAGGCAGCCTCACTTCGTCTGGTGTGTCAGCATGCACACAGTGTTTCGGCCACTTGACTCTCGGACCGCCGTCAGGTCCGGTTCGGTCAGATCCAGGTTCGGGGTCCTCACGACTGGATGATATCTCCTGGAAACTGCCGCTATTCAAACTAGAGTCTTCTGCTTGCGAGCCCAGTGCTCTACCAACTGAGCTTAGCGGAAAGAATGTCCCTTACCCAGCTTTATTTGACGTTAGTCCTAACAACATTTTAGCCATGAAAGCTATCATGGTTGCGTGAGGTCTTACATAGGTCCAGCGTGTACGTTTCGAGCTCCACCTGTAACCGTGCATTGAATTTATTTGATATTTGTGCCCGCCTTCTTACCAAACAGCTAAGCCATCATTTTCCGTCCAGGAGCTGCAAATGGAAAGGAATGGTCGGCGGGAAAGGTCAACTTTCCTTGGCGGAAGGATCGTGATAGCGCGCGATATCAGGTGCCCTGCATAGACAACGGCAAGTTTTACCGAGATCCGAACCGAGATCCGGCCAAGATGCACGGCACCAGCGAGTGTTCCAAATATTTCCTCTGCATAGGTGAGTACACTCTACCCCACAAGGAACTTATCCGTGTAGCGCTGCAGAAGTAAGCTTCTTGGTCTATTTTGGTCTGTTTTAGAGACGAAAATAGACTGGACTTCTATGGGCTTGTTGGTCTATTTCGTGCAACGAAGAATTGCACGTAGTATTCTCAGGCCTCAGTGCCTTTGAGCGGTGAGGATAGAAATTCCGGATGTCTGGAAAGCAAAAGATAAACCAAAGAGCATCAGACGCAAGTGGGCGCATTTGCTCATAGCGCATTTGAGGAAACATTTTAGGCAGCGTCTTAGCCGGCCGAAACTACGCTTCAGCATTCTCTTAGCTATATCGCTTCTAACAGATTGCAAACCGGTTGAAATTGGAGCTCAGGAGCTTTCTGAGTTTCTCCAGAAACTCAGAAAGCCAAAATACATCTCCTTTTTCAATGCCTAACATCGAACCACGGCAGACTTGCAGCCATGCCACCACTACAGCACACTGATGCCAGAGAAGCACGATTAAAAGATGCGATTTTCTTGCAAGAATCTGATGCATTTGCCAGCCGAACGCTCCGCCCTATAACCATCGACGGAACCTTAAATAAAATATGACTGAACTTGCACAATAAGCTGAAATGTGAGCATCTCCATTTTGAGGTTCCAGCTTATTCTGACGTAGCTTGTCAATATGTGCTACATTCAAACAAATAAAATTGGCATTATTATATTTTCTGGACCTACTTGCATGCTATTTTGCAACAACATGTTTGCACAAGGACGATAGGAACAAACAGCAAGAGATGTTGCTGTATTTGTATTTTTTAATTCATGCCACCTGAAGTTCTTTTTCTAGTAAATGTATCTGTCTACGACTGGTTGCATAATCGCACCCGCATTTATAGCACAAACGGCGTGTTATGGCGGCCGGCAGCGGCGGTGCCAAGCGTCGATCCGCGGAGACACGGCGACGAGAGAGGCCTCTGGCGCGGCCGAGCGGACCTGGCCGCCGCCGGTCCAGCGCTTAAAGAGTGTTTACATTTGTGTGGGGTTTTTAACTGAAATAGCCATCTTGAAGACCTTTCGGTGCTGTTCACAGCCCTACCCTTCTTAAGATCTAATCCCGTCTACCCTCTGAGCTACACGCCCACGAAAATTGGGATAGCATTTCGGAGAGAGCATTTCGAAGTCACCTTAGGAATCATGACTTCATATTAACATCATTAAAATATATAATCCTTGCGACAATAAAGGTCAATATAGATATAATTATCGGGGCGTTCATAGCTGGCGTTCGTTAGCTCGATTTCCAGACATAACGGTCGTCTCACTTAATGATGTGCAAGGTACGATGACGTAATCAATCCATGGCGCATCGAAGAGCATATTTACAACCCAGAAAACTGTGAGGCCTAGAACATTCTTTTCCATTTCATTCTCTTCCATATCTCAAAATGTGAAACATTCACTTTGATAGGCGCCGCAATATGGGGCCGCGACGCCGGCCAGGTCGACTTTCAGGTCACTTTTGCGTCGCGTGTGTACATGTAAATACATGGCTGGACCATCAGAAGACGTATTTCACATGATATCTAAAAGGCCATAATAGTAACGTTTTTCACCTGACTTATAAATGATACATTAAAAACGATGCATTTTATCTTTACTTATCGGCTTACCTACAACATAGGCATACATTTTTGCTAGCCAATCAACGTCCCCAACTGCCGCGACTATTTCATGGCAATCACATGAGGAGTATGCCGAGAGCTGATGTAATCGGCACATTTAGAATAAGAGTTAACCTTACCCTGAATCCCTGCAAGTTAGATGAAGCATAAGCAAAGACGACAAAATATTGGATGCGTTGGTCAGTTTCTGCGCTTCACCGACTTATAAATCACACACACTCACGCACGTACGTACGTACGTACGCACGCACGCACGCACGCACGCACGCACGCACGCACGCACGCACACACGCACGCACGCACGCACGCACGCACGCACGCACGTACGCTTGCACGCACGCAACCTTTGAAGCTTTCATTCCTCTAGGCTTCATCAGTTAAAAACTAACTGTATGTGTGTTTTTAAAACTGATGAAGCCTAGAGCTGTTCACACATCGTACTTTGGCATCGTCCGATAATTTCCAATTTACCTTCCAACTGTTTTACGTACAAGATTTGGCCATCTTGCAGTAGTAACGTCATTGCGCTACTTTTTAGCAATTCATTAAATGCTTTTGTGCACAAGTTTGCGCATAAGTTTGCGACAGATTTCACAATGTTTTGCTACCACTGGTTTCTGCCAGCTGGTGTTAACCCATTTAACCCAGATGGCAGAAACTGTTTAATTCGGTCACTGCCGACCCCACTTTCAACACAGTTCATAAGGCTCAACTCAGGTCAATGACCAATGGCCAATTATGTTTTATTATCACAAGAAACGAAGACCCCAATAACAAGATATACAAATGATATTATAGTAACAATATAACAGCATCGTAAAATGACTCAATGCCCGAGATATTAAGGATCATCAAGATAGGATACCAAAGATGATTAACGAGATATTAAAGGCTATCAAGAAGGGGTACCAAAAATGGAGGGAAAGAAAGCACCACAGTGAGCTTTCCTGGCACGAGCACAATAGTAAATTTCCCCACACTGGCCAGATAGGCACCGAGTCAGTTGCGCTGGCTAAAAGAAAATGACGAATTTCGTGGTGTTATGAACCGCCCGCGGTAGTAACCATGCTCAGGCTGAGATAGGAACCTGGGGTACCATAAACGTGTCTGAAGCATCCCAATAGCTTCAAAGATTTCCAAGATTACACAGACGCAATTGGAAGTAAAAAAAGCTGAGAAGTACTAGATGTTCTTCAAGAATTAAGTTTCCTTTCGAGACTTTTATTCCCTGAAAAATTGTGCGCCAGCTGGGTTCTGATGCACTCCGCCACCGCGCCCGTATCGGTGATATTTGGCCTGCTTTCAGATGGAGAGGTTTACAAGTTCAAGTGCTCACGTGACCTCCTATTCGACGTCAGCAGACAAATATGCGACTTCAAAGCCAAGGTGGCCAACTGTGAGGTGAACACAAGTAAGTTTGTGGGCCGCGCCCGACTCAGGTTTCATTTAAGATGAATGGCGACGACCTAAGGGTCAAATGTCGCCGACCTCTCCGCCCCTCGCCTTTCTCTCTCTGGATAAGCGGTGAATTATTGTCGGAAGCTTCGCTCTCATTATTGTGCTAGTTTAAATGTGTGCGTGCATGCATGCGTCAGTTTGCGGTTTAAAGGAAAGCAGTATTTTGCGTCGTGATGTACCAGTATGGGTTACCACCAATGTAGCTGTGCCCGATTCGGTCCGGAAAACGGCTGTTTTCTGTAAATGTTTTCTTACTTGCTCAGATTTTCAATATCAATTGATCATGTTTGCTGAGTTTTTTTCACCGGACCCTTCGTCCTCACTATTCGTATTCACCAGCGCATTGCTGTGCGCAGGGTTTACTTTGGCTTTATCCAAAAGCGGCTTAGTATTTGTTTGCTAGGCGTTGTGAGCACAACTTGTTTGTGTCAACAGTGGCACGAGGGCTCATATCACCTTACTTCGATAAGAATATACCTTTTGGGTTATTCCAAAGCAGCAGAAATGTAACGACATAGTCTTGCACGCATAAGATGACGTCTTCTAGCCTTATCGTTGAGCAGGGCTGGGCAATGTCTTTCTTCTCATCGCTGTCCCCACGCCCATATCTGTTTCCAGAGGCCCTAATCCTCCAACGCACTCGCATCAAGGTAAGCATCGGGCGTCGCGTCTGCTGATGTGATGGCCATCATCCTGAGTTCTCTCTATTCCCTAACAAATTTTTGTTTCCTTTGCTTTCGCAGAAGTGACCACACCCAAGCCGATTTTGAACACGATCGAGCCCATCTGCCCCCGCGATCACCACGCGTGCGGCACTGGAGACTGTATAGCGGCCGACCTCTTCTGCGATGGACAGGCGGACTGTCCAGATGACAGTGACGAGGGTACGTCAGCAGGAGACGCCAGTGTCCGCAATAGGCCAGCACGGGGCCGACAGTGACGAGGGTACGTCAGCAGGAGACGGCAATGTCCGCAATAGGCCAGCACGGGGCCGACAGCGACGGACGTGGGTCAGCACGGAGCGTTAGTGCCGTAGGTAGGTCAGCAGGGCCCGTCAGTGATGAGGGCAGGTCAACAGAAGAGTGGGCCATTGCCCTCTGTAAACACCTTCTATGGCGCGACGCCAAACATCTCATCTACAGACACTGCGGACGACACGTCAGCGTCTTCCGCTGCAACTGACGAGCGCGATTGTGACACTGACTGTATCAGCCGCATGTCAATGGCTCGGCTTCGCTGGCAGGTTGGTGTGACCCGGAACATGACCCGAACGCGGCTCCCAAATGTGACTACAACAACTGCACGCTGCCGTACTGCTGGTGCTCCGTGGACGG